TTTAAGATTACTGGAGTAATTAAGAGTTGGATGGCGGAGAAAGACTAATTTGTTCAAGCCTTCAAGTGGGAGATTGTTAAGATTTATGGAGTCATGAACAAATTGACAAGTTCCTAAAAGTTCAAGGGCCATAAATGTAACTTAGAAAATTAAACAATTTAATTGTATTGTTTAATGGAAAGATGGACGGTGGTTCAATTATTTAATATTGAATGTACGCACATTTTAGGTGGAATAGTTTTGGACGACATATATTTCAATTCAAATATGGCGGCTCAATTTCATGTGCAAATTGCGGCTCACAAACATATATATATATATATATATATATATATATATATATATATATATATATATATATATATATATATATATATATATATATGTATGTATTGCAAGAAGAAAGTGTGCAGCAGCGTAGCACAGAACAACAAAAGTGCCGAGTGATATTACCATTTGTAATCTTATAGTGAGTTAATATAAAATCTAGTTGCGCCCGTGGACGTAGGATTTACACCGAATCCGAACCACCTATAATCCTTGTGTTCCTTCTTGCTTTATTTTCTCGTTTCGTTTGTGTGTGTGATAGTGTTTCCGCTGCGTGTACCCGGTCCGGTTCCTAACAGTATGTGCACCATAGGGATGTTAAAGTACATAAAACCCAACATACGTGTCCAAGTAGTGTTAGGAGATTAGATCTGAAGTTGTAAGCCTTAGTTTGGTGAATGGATGGCTTAAGGACCAAGTTCTAGGTCCCAAGGAAATAGGGTTTGAGCTAAACCCTTTAAGAGGGGGTATTAAGGGGTAAAGTCAGAAACTTTACCCTTAAAAGGACATTTTTAGGGTTTATGTAAAGTATGAAGCTTGGATCTGAAGTGTAGGGGCTTAATCCATTAAAATAGCCCAAACAGACAGGGAAACTCGGCGAGTCCAGTAAGGGACTCAACGAGTTGAAGCCGGGTTGTCCCGATTTTACAACAGGTAGAACTCGACGTGTCTGGGAAGGGACTCGACGAGTTGACTCGGTTGACCACGAGTCTGAGTAGTACAGGTACTCGCCGAGTTGGGAGATAACACGACGAGTTGGGTTGACTAGGAGTTGACCTTGACTTTGACTCTGACCAGGATGTTGACTTTGACCAGGGGTAAAATGGTTATTTTACCCTAAGAAGGATTATCAGATTCTGATTAAGTGTTATTGTGAAATTGATAGCCGGGGAGTCGTTGGAGCAGCCATCAGGGATTCCTCACACGAGATTTCACAACTAGCATTTGAGGTGAGTTTCCTCCAGTAGGAACGGGTCTAAGGCACCAAGGCCGGCTCGTTTAGTTAGTAGTAGTTCCTGACTATGGTCTGATGCCGGGCGGGGCCCGATGTAGGTTTACATGCTTTTCCGGATTTCGATCTGATGCCGGGGTGGTCCCGAGGAATTCTTGTATGCTTGATGTCTTTGTGATTCTTGCATGTGTTTGTATTTTATGTTTCCGAACTTCGGTTCGATGTTGGGGCGATCCCGAGGAATGTTAGTATGTTACCGGATTACGGTCCGATGCCGGGCGGGGCCCGAGGAACGTTTAAGTGTTAATGTTATGTGCTTAGGTTTATGTGTATTATTGTTTATGCTCTTATGTATTTCAAGATTTTCTCGATGCCGGGCGGGGCCCGATGCCGAGCTTGACTCGATGTAGCAGGGGCGGGGCCAAGATATGTTTATGTGTTATGTGTATGGTATGTGGTAGTTGGGGAGACTCACTAAGCTTCGTGCTTACATTTTTCAGTTTTGGTTTCAAGTACTTCCTCTAGCAAGGGGAAGAGCTCGAGATGACTGCATGGCATACACCACTGTTTTTAGCCTGAGAGGATTCACTATGATTTATGATATATGATTGTGATATTATGACATATATGTTGATGTTATTGAGATACATGACTATGATTTTTATGTGATGGATAATATTGATGGTTTTTATAATTGATTTAAAACGAAAATTTTTGGTCTATACTTTTTGGATGTTTCATTTACTCAACTTGAAGGACTAGACTACGGTTAAACTTTTGTGCTAGTGGCAAGGCTTGAAGCTATCAGATTGTTTCTAGCTTATGCTTCATTTAAACAGTTCAAAGTGTATCAAATGGATGTTGAGACTTCCTTACTTTATCGATATTTACAAGAAGAAGAATTTCTCAAGCAGTCTCCAGAGTTTGAACTTGAAGACTTACTAAATCATGTCTACAGACTCGATAAGGTTGTGTATAGACTTAAGCAGGCCCCTAAAGTCTGGTATGATACATTGCCAACTTATCATGTTGAGAATGGTTACAGGAGAGAGCAAATAAAATCACGTTATTCTTTACGAAGACAACTTGTGATCTTATCCATGCCCAAGTATATGTTGATGACATTATTTTTTGGCTCTACCAATAAAAACTTGTGATCTTATCCATGCCCAACTTGTGTGTAAGATTTCAAGCTTCTCCAAAGGAATCTCATATGCAAGCTGTGAAAAGGATTTTTAGATATCTAAAGGGAAATCCAAATTTTGGTCTTTGTTTCCCTAAAGATTCATCGCTTGATCTTAGTAGGTACACAAGTTCAGACTATATGTGCAAGCTGTGAAAAGGATTTTTAGATATCTAAAAGGAAATCCAAATTTTGGTCTCTGTTTCCCTAAAGGTTCATCGCTTGATCTTAGTAGGTACATAAGTTCAAGTTCAGACTATGTAGAGTGTACATTAGACAAATATATATATATATATATATATATATATATATATATATATATAATATATATATATATATATATATGGAGGATGTCAACTTCTAGGTGGAAGACTCATCAGATGGTCTTGCAAGAAATAAACCTCAATTGCGTGTTCAATAATTGAATTTGAGTATGTTGCAGTTGGTAGATGATGTGCTCAAGTACCATGAATCCAAAATCAGCTTTTGGATTATGAGTCGAAGTTCAAAAAAACTCCAGTCAGTAGTGACAACACCAACGCAACTCAAATAACTCGGAATCTTGTTCATCACTTAAAATAAAGCATATTTAGATTAGACACCACTTCATTATAGACATTGTTCAGAAAAGGGAAGATTGAGTCGTTGTATGTTCCAACAAATAATCAACTACCCGATCTTAAGGTTTTTCAGCTCAATCCCTGTAAATTTCTATCATTTTTTATTTTATTTAACTTTTAGTTAACTTTTTTTTCTTAAAAGAAAATAACAAAACTTTTTTTTTCATTTCTTCAACAACCTTAATCAATTACAATTTGTTTATCTTTTAAAATACAATCATCAGTGAGTGTCTTGTTCAAAGTGCTACTCACCCAACATTTGAGCAAACCTACGTACCCACCATCCTTCATTATACCATGCATCCATTTTGTCTCTAACTGTAAAGGTCACCACCACTACCACAGGAGGATTGGGCCTTAACTTGTTTAAGATCATGGTTTACTAGTAGATCATGCCAAACTGTTTGAGATATTTACTACATATATAGGTTGTAAGTTCTGACTTGTAATTGATGATTTTGAAAGAGAATTTAAGTGAAGGTGGTGTATATAGAGAATTCTTTCTTGCTTTTCCAGAAATATAGGAAACCAATGTTGCTTACAATGATAATATATATAGTTAGAGAGCAAAAAACCATCTTAACTCTGATATCAACTGATGAAACACATGTAATACAGTCTATCATGCGAGGGGTGTTTCACTATATGTCTACGTTGTCTTCTTCAAAATCTTAGATTGAAGGCTGAGATACCTACTTTTTATAGTGAAAATCAATGTTATTTAAGCATGACAAGTAACCTAGTCTATCATGAGAACAATAAGCATATTGATGTCGGGATGAATTTCATTCGTAATGTTCTTCAAGAAGACAGGTTATCTATCGACAGATAACTATTACAGAGAACCTAATAGTTATATTAGCAAAGGCGTTGCCATCAAAGAAGTTCAAGCATTGCTTTGACTTGGTGAATTATCGTATGAAGTAAGTCCCTTCGGGGCAAACCGGCAGGAAGGAGATGACTCTTAGGAATCTTTGATAGTTGAAGTTAATTCAAGTCAAGGTGGAGATTGTTAGTTAGAGTGTGCCTTGGAGTTTGGTGATTCGAATAAATTACCTGAACCCGGAACGAAATGAAGATACCCAAATGTCGAATTAAGTGAAGAAACATGTTTTGTTCTTATGAATTTTCTTGTATATGGGCTCGACATAGTTGTTAGGTTTATTGGTTATAAGTATTACTAACTAAGTTTTCTATTTGATCTCTTTTGAAAAAGTTGAGAAATAAAAAAGATCTCTGGTCACTGCCATTAAAGCGTAGGTCACGCTGATCAAACCACGTTAATTCTTTGTTTTTTTTCTTGTTTTTTTGCTTAGTTGTGTGTCAACAATAAAAATATGGCTATGGCTATGCCTACCGGTTGCCTGATGTCCAGAAGTTGCTTATCTTAATTGATGGTGTAATATTTTTGCACCAATATTTTAGATCTTATGGGAAGTTGCTGTCGGATGCTTCTAGATTTGGCTGACTTGATACCGATTATTTATATACTTTCATTGGGTATATGACACGTCAATAATAGCGGGGCCTGGAAAATCATATGGCCAATAGTGATCTCCAAAATATACCTTAATAGCAGGGTTCATATGTATGCCACAAAAGGTAAAAATATTAAATTATTGAAGGGTCCATCAACGCCTGTTTTCAGAGATGTCGTTTTATCATGCAATAAAGAGTATGGAGTCAAGACAGAAGATCCGAGAAAGTGATTTCAGCTAAACTCCAAAAATGGCCACAGATAAAGGAGATCTCAGTCACCGAATAGGACGAAACAGATAAAATTATTATGCACAAGGTAACTAACAAAAAAGCCTTGACATATCAGTCAATTATGTCAATATATATAGTCGAGCAGACAATTAAGTATAGAAACACCAACACTTTCCCGAGACTCACCAGAAAACTTCCTTTAGAAAACATGGCAAGACCTCATGTTGTAGTCATACCTTATCCCGCACAAGGCCATGTAATCCCTATAATGGAGCTTGCTCAACGCTTAGTCAAGCAAGGAATCAAAGTTACATTTGTAAACACAGAGGTTAATCACAAGCTTGTGACAAGCAATTCATTGGTCAAGGATGGTTTTGGGGATCTAATGCAGTTGGTTTCAGTCCCTGATGGGTTAGAGCCATGGGAGGACAGGAGTGACCTATGCAAGTTGACCACGTCAATATTACAAACTATGTCGTGCAAACTAGAAGAGCTTATAGAAACGATTAACAAAGAAGGCAGCAGTAAAGTTACATATATTATTGCTGATGATGGAATGGGATGGGCCATAAAAGTCGCAAAGAAGATGGGAATCAGAAGAGCGGCCTTCTAGTCAGCCTCAGTTGCTACACTGGCCTACGTGATGAGCTTTCAGAAACTAATTGATGATGGAATCATTAACAACAATGGTGAAACATGCATGATTACATATTTCATAAAATAAGAATCTATTAATGTCCATTAACCTTTTATGATTTTTTTCATTGCAGGTATACCTATAAATGATCAGATGATTCAGCTTTCGGAAAACATGCCACCTCTGAAGTCCACGAACCTCCCATGGACGTGCTTTGAGGACTTGGGCACTGTAAAAGCCTTTTTTCAAGTTGTCGTAGAAGCTGTTGAAGCCGCTAGTTTAACCGAATGGTTTTTATGTAACTCGACTACTGAGCTGGAGCCTGCTGCATTCAGCCTGTACCCGCAGCTGTTGCCGATTGGTCCATTGCTGGCTAGCAACCGACATGCAGACCAAACAGGCCACTTCTGGCAAGAAGACTCCACCTGTCTAGCATGGCTCGACCAACAGCCATCATGTTCGGTCATTTATGTAGCTTTTGGGAGCTTCACCATTTTCAACCAAACACAGTTTGAAGAATTGGCACTTGGTCAGGAACTTAGCAACAGACCATTCTTGTGGGTTGTGCGACCAGGCATGACAAAGGAGACTACGGCTTCTTTCCCAGATGGGTATGTGGAAAGAGTAGGCTCTCGTGGAAGAATTGTGAGTTGGGCACCTCAACAAAAAGTCTTAGCTCATCCTTCTGTGGCTTGTTTTGTGAGTCATTTTTGTTGGAATTCTACTTTAGAGGGTGTTACAAATGGACTCCCTTTCTTGTGCTGGCCATACTTTGCTGATCAGTTTCACAATGAAAGTTACATTCGTGACATCTGGAAGACTGGACTGGGGTTTAACAAAGATGAAGCAGGTATCATCACACGAGGAGAAATAAAAAGTAAGGTAGAGCAGCTGCTCGGAGACAATTCATTCAAAGCTAAGGCCATGGATATTAAAGAAAAGGTTACAAGCAGTATCAAAGAAGGAGGATGCTCACACAAAAATCTTGGCAATTTTATCGAGTGGATACACAATGATACAGATGCACTATAACCAAGTTGACATATGTGCAGAAGAATCTATATATAACGGCATTTAGTACGTTAATTTGAAGTTTTGTGAAAATGTTGCCTCCAAAATTAGTAAGTGGCAAATAGTTCAGGGTTATTTCTGTAACTTATCATTTACTATTCATAGTTTGACTATGAATAGTAATATAAGTGTGAAATGTTTGAAAATGAGAATGGACGGTAATATGGATTGGCAACTTGTTTGGTAAATATTAGGCGCATGCTTTTTGGGTCAACAATGGAGGCGCAGTATAAACAAGTCAAATTAGAAGGCGCAGCAATTTTTGGACGAAAAACTCTTTTTTCTTTTCCTTTCATATTACATTCCCTTTGGCTATAAATAGCCTAAGCCATTTTCATCATAAACACACGAACCAAAGTCAAAGTATATATAGAAAAGCATTAAATATATATATACTTATACACCACCGTGTATTTTAGCTCTCCGACTCTATTTGTAATCTCTTTCATAATCCCTGTAAACACTGCAAATTATAGTGAATTGTTTCTCGGCTTCCTCCGCCCGTGGTTTTTTTCCCGATTTGGGTTTCCACGTAAATTCCTGTGTCTCTATTCTATTTATTTTATTCGTATTACGTTGTGATTATTACGCTTTGATAATTTTTGATCCCATTCCGCATTGAGCTAATATTATTTAAGTCAATTCGTATCCGTCGTATTTTACAACAATTGGTATCAGAGCATCCGGGTTGTGATATTAGCTCGTTGGGATCATTTTATCAAGTAATTAATCATGTCTCCGGTAAAATACGATATTCCACTACTGGATCGTAACACCCGATTTCCGTTGTGGCAAGTAAAGATGAGAGACATTCTCATTCAGATGGATTTACACAAGGCGCTATTGGGCTTCAATAAGATGCCCGGTACATGGACCGAAGAAGAAAAGGAGATGAAAGATCTGAAGGCTTTATCCCAGATTCATTTGCACTTGTCAAATGATGTTTTGCAAGATGTTCTAAAAGAAACGTCAGCGGCTTCTTTATGGCTAAAGTTGGAACAACTGTTGATGACCAAGAGCTTACCAAACAAGTTGCATTTGAAGCAACGGTTGTTCAATCTCAAGATGATTGAAGGAGGCTCTTTAACTGAACATATATCCACATTTAAAGAGTTAGTAAATAACTTAGAGAATATGGATGTTCAGTATGAAGATGAAGACTTGGCTCTATTCTTACTATCGTCGTTGCCAGAATCCTATAGCCATTTTCGTGATACTATTATCTATAGCCGTGACACTCTAGTTTTAGATGAAGTCTATACAGCTTTGGATTCAAAAGAGAAGATGAAGCATATTACTGGTGGTGGTTCAAGTGATGCTAAAGCCGAAGGTTTGAATGCCAGAGGAAGAACAACAGAGAGAAGTAGAACTTCTCAATCTTCCAACAGAACCAGATCCAAGTCAAAAGGCAAACGAAAGTTTTGCAACTATTGTCACAAGAAGGGACATGTGCTTGAAGAATGCTTCAAGTTGAAGAACAAAGAAAAAGAGAAGACGACAACAAATGGTAAACAAGCTAGCACTTCGGGTGAAGTCGATCTAGCTGAGGTCGAAGGTATTGGAGAACTTTTGACAGTTTATTCAGATAAACTGGATTCCACTGGTGATTGGATACTCGACTCTGGTTGTACTTTTCATATGTGTCACAACAAAAGTTGGTTTTACACATTTGAAAAGGTTAACCAGGGCTATGTGTTGATGGGTAACAATACTACATGTCCAGTTCTTGGACATGGTTCAGTCAGGATCCGTATGTTTGACGGAGTTATTCGAACCATGGGGGATGTTAGATATGTTCCTGACCTCAGAAGAAACTTGTTATCTCTCAGTTCCTTTGACAAAAAGGGATACGAGTTTGCTGGTAAAGGTGGAGTTCTCAGGGTATTCAAAGACGGTTCCGACAAACTGAGAGCCAAATGAAAAACCTCAGATCTTTACTTTCTTGACGGGCAAACAATTTCGAGTGATGCTGCTGTTGTTTCAAAGTCTCTTTCTGATCCAGATCAGTCCCGTCTTTGGCACCTTCGACTCGGCCATATGAGTTTTCAAGGCATGTCAGAATTGAGTCGAAGAGGTTTACTTGGTCAACAAAAGATTGTTGATTTGGATTTCTGTGAAGACTGTGTATATGGCAAGGCAAAACGAGTAAGGTTTGCAAGTGGTATCCATACAACAAAAGGACCACTTGATTATGTTCACTCGGATTTGTGGAGACCGGCTCGAGTTGCTTCAAAAGGTGGAGCTATTTATATGCTCACTATTATTGATGATTTCTCCAGGAAGGTGTGGTCTTTCTTCTTAAAACATAAAGGAGACGTTTTCTCTACCTTCAGAAATTGGAAAGTTCAGGTTGAAAAGCAATCAGGTCTGGTGGTAAAGTATCTTCGTACGGATAATGGACTTGAGTTTTGCTCAGAAGAGTTTAATATCTATTATCAAAAGGAAGGCATTACTCGACATCGCACAGTAGTCCATTCACCTCAACAAAATGGTGTAGCTGAAAGGATGAATCGCACCATTATGGAGAAGGTCCGGTGTATGCTTTCTAATTCCAAATTGCCAAAGTCTTTTTGGGCGGAGGCTGCTTCGACTGCTTGCTATGTTATCAACCGATCACCGTCACGAGCAATCGAGAAGAAAACTCCGTTTGAGTTATGGTCTGGTAAACCTGCCAATTATTCAGATTTAAAACCATTCGGATGTCCAGCGTATGCACGAGTTGACAATGGGAAGCTAGAACCAAGAGCAATCAAATGCATTTTTCTTGGGTACAATCAAGGTGTAAAGGATTACAAGTTATGGAGCTTTGATTTGAAGAAAATTATCGTCTCAAGAGATGTTACTTTTGATGAGTCTGCTATAATTCAACCAGTTGTTGACTCTTCTAAAAGAACAGATGCATCAGATGTATCATCCGAAGCAAATAAAGAGAATGCTCAAATGGAGGTGGAGCTTCCTACTTCACCTACCACTAATCAGAGTACAAATCAGCATCAAGATTCTTCTTCGTCGGATGAGCATGTTGTTGGTGAAGATTCAACACCTTCACAACCACAAGCTACTACTCCAAGCATTGCAAGAGATAGACCGAGAAGACAGATTATTCCTCCGAAGAGGTATGCTGAATCTGATTTGGTTGCCTATGCTTTTATTGTTGCTGATAATATTGAGTCTGCAACGGAGCCTGCAAATTATGACGAGGCTATCAAATCTGAAGACTCAAATGATTGGATGCTCGCTATGCAAAATGAGATGGAATCCTTGCAGCGAAACAGTACTTGGAATTTAGTTCCTATTCCGAAAGGGAAAAGACCAGTTAAATGCAAGTGGGTCTACAAGCTCAAGGAACCTGTCAACCCAAATGATAAACCAAGATACAAAGCTCGGTTAGTAGCTAAAGGCTACAGTCAGATTCCTGGTATTGATTACACTGACATTTATTCCCCAGTTGTCAAACATACTTCCATTCGTGTATTGTTGGGGTTGGTTGCTTCTAACGATTTTGAGTTAGAACAACTTGATGTCACTACAGCTTTCCTAAATGGTGAGCTTGAGGAAGAGATTTTTATGCAACAACCTGAAGGTTTTGTAGTTCCTGGAAAGGAGAACTACGTATGCAAGTTGAACAAATCTCTTTATGGCCTCAAGCAGTCTCCTAGACAATGGTACAAGAGGTTCGATTCTTTCATGACCAATCACAAATTCAGCAGGTGCACCTATGATAGCTGCGTTTATTTTAAGAAAGGTGACAATGGTTCAAAGATCTACTTACTCTTGTACGTGGATGACATGTTGATTGCAGCGAAAGATATGAAGGAGATTCAGAAGTTAAAAGACTAGTTGAAAGCTGAATTTGAAATGAAGGACTTAGGAGCTGCCAAAAAGATTTTAGGTATGGAAATTATTCATGACAGGAAGTCTAGGATCTTGCATCTTTCTCAGAAAAGTTATATTGAGAAAGTCCTAAGACGCTTCAGTATGCACGAAGCAAAGTCTGTCAACACACCTTTTGCAGCTCATTTCAAGCTATCATCCACTTTGAGTCCTACTAATGAGACTGATATGGCTTACATGACACGTGTTCCATACTCTAGTGCTGTTGGATCTTTGATGTATGCTATGATCTGCACGCGCCCTGATTTGGCTTATGCTGTTAGCATGGTTAGTAGATACATGGCGAATTCGGGGAAAGAACACTGGAAAGCAGTACAGTGGATTTTTCGTTATTTACGTGGTACGTCTTCTATGTGTTTACGTTTTGGTAAATCTAACACTGGGGTGTTCGGATATGTTGATTCAGATTATGGAAAAGATTTGGATAAACGAAGATCAATTACAGGATATGTGTTTACTCTAAATGGTTGTGCTGTTAGTTGGAAAGCCCAGTTACAGTCTACAGTTGCCCTGTCTTCTACCGAGGCAGAGTACATGGCGATTACAGAATCAGTTAAGGAAGATATCTGGTTGAAGGGGTTATTTGGAGAACTCGATGATAGAATAAAGGTGACCACAGTTTTCTGTGACAACCAGAGTGCTATTTTCTTGAGTAAAGATCAAATGTTTCATGACCGAACAAAGCATATTGATATTCGTTATCATTTTGTGCGGGATATCATTGAAAAAGGTGATTGTGTTGTGGACAAGATTCATACAGATTATAATCCCGCTGATATGTTCACTAAAAGTCTTCCTATAGCCAAGTTCAAATTATGTTTGGACATGGTGGGTGTTTCTGATCGCAGTTGAGCCTGAAGGCTCGTAGGTGGAGGAAGTATTATTTATTTTTCGGAAACAATTTTTCTCTATATAATTTTGCAGGTTCTTATGGAAGTTTTAGAGTTTGATGAGCTATAGGTTTTTGACTAATCGTAAAGCATGACTTGCTTAATTTTGATGTCAAGGTGGAGATTGTGGAAAATTTTGCCTCCAAAATTAGCAAGTGGCAAATAGTTCAGGGGTTATTTCTGTAACTTATCATTTACTATTCATAGTTTGACTATGAATAGTAATATAAGTGTGAAATGTTTGAAAATGAG